TCAGACGTCTTGGAGTATCCGCGAAACTTCATCCTACCGCTAATTGGTGGTTTGGTTTGGTGGCTTGGACGCTCGGGGTGCCTTGCCTATTTGGTGTCAAGGGAACTGGGGTTCAAATCCCCAGAACCTGACTGAGGAATTTTGGAAGACTACTTTCCCGGGAGCCTTTAGTTTCATGTCAGTGGGCAGAAGCCTTTTTGGACCCTCTGGTGGGTTCCATGTTAGTGGGCAATCCATGGCGTTTGTTTTGCTCTCAAGGGAATTGAACCCCAAGGCTCCATGCTAGTGGATAGGAGGGTATCCATTTCGTTCTTTTTTTTGCCTAAGGGAATCGAACCCCAAGTTCCTTAAGCCTTAAGCACCAAACCACTCACCCGGTCAGCTCAGCTGGTCTCGCAGGCTCCTGGGGGAAGATTGGTCCTTCCTGTTCCCGGAGCCCTGGGTGCCTTCAGCGTCCCAGACCCCGAAGAGCGTCTTCCAGGGCTTTCAGTCAGAGCTGTTGGCCATGGCGGAGAGGTGCCCATGCTGCAGCCAACCGGCTTGGTGGATTTGAATTGGTGTCTGTTTCGTCGTTTGGTCTCAGAAGAAACACATATAGACATATAAAATCTCTCTATCTTTATGTACACATATACATGTACCGCATGTGTAGAAACAGTATGTATGTATACATATATATTATATATATGCCAACCCCCCTCCTAGTGTCCCCGTTTTGCTTGATTTGAGCACGCAGGCTGAAGAGTTTAACTAGTTTTGCAGCAGGCTCCACCATTTTGCTTCGTTTGAGCAGACAGTCTGTAGTGTTTTCTCTACTGACTATTCTTGCAGCAGACTTACGCGAAGATACGCAGGCTTGCAGTCCATCACGCGCATGTCATCTAGTTATGGACAGAGAGCAATTCCATTGCACAATTCCAAGAACACAACAATTCCAAGCAAACAGGTATCAACGTGTAGACATGCTAGAAGCCTCAAAACAATATAGAAGCTGGACCCACACAAAGAACATTAGGTACTCATTGCACGCAAATAACTAGAAGGCAGGTGGCCAAACACATACGTAATCTACTCTGTTTGTCGCAAGGTTATGTCCGCACAGCAAATTAGGCGCGTCTTCTTGCAACAAATAGCTGATTCTCTGTGCAATTTCTTTGAGGACGTTTCTCTTCGCAAGGTATCTGGGCAAGTGTCTCCGAGCAAGTTTCTCTGGGCAAGCAACACCTGGGTACCTCTTGCACAAAATAAATGCATACTGTCTGGATTCAAGATTCATCATTGCCCAGGCAAGCTTTCTCCAAAATATTGACTCCAGAAAACAGGCCATAGAAACTGTTTAAGACGAAAGTATAGTGTATGATACGAATTTACTCTGGTTGTGGACAGACCAGAGGAAACTAGCGTTCCAAGCAAGATGCAGACATGCCAGCCCCCCGGAAAATTACAGAAAGGGGACCAACACGTGGGTATCGATGTCCCTCAACAGTTCCCGCAGATAAATGCCGATATTTCGATTTCAGGGGGGGATGCATGGATCCAAGATTTCCCTCAACAGTCCCCAGCGACTTTGGATCTTGATCCAGGGTCTAAAACTGGCATAAAGAAATCTGAATCCCGGTATGTCTACATCTGAATACCAGTTTTTAGAATTATGGCACACCCATGTCTTTGGTGCCCACTGATGGCTAAAAGAATCGAGCATCCCGGAAAGCATTGCTAAAATGCAGAGAAATGGGGGCACCAGGGGGGTGCCATGTAGATGTATGTCTGTATATATGGATGTTTGCGGATGTAGTGCCTGCCGCAAAAACATGGATGGTCACCAGCACCCTCCGACTACTTCCCTGTGGCCGGCAGATAGAATTTTCAACAAATAGACCGCAGTTAGAAAAGCTAATGTCTTTCTTTTGTTTGCGGGATGTTGCGGGATGCCCATGATCATGACTCGCAAGTGACAGCGTGTCAGCAACGTGCAGTAGCAAGCAAGTTCTATGTAGTGACCCGCATGGACTTGGGTGTCATTGCGTGCCACCTTCGTGTCACCTGAGTGTGACCTGCGTGTCACGGCGTCTCACGCGCATGTCACCTGCGTGTCACCGCGTGTCACCTTTGTGTCGCGGCTTGGGATGGGGTTTTGGGATATTAGTTTGTTTATTTGCCTTATTTGCGGAACTACCGCCAAATAGACGGTAGTCACGAAAATAAAGCGAAAGCAGTAGTCGGAGGGCACTGGTGTTCCCATTTTGCTTGCCTCTCTGGTTCTGGTTCGCTTTGGAAGGGGCGCCCGATTTGTGTTTGGCAGCGGCAGTGTTGAATTGTTTTGCAAACGCACGCGCACACACACACACATATATATATATATATATATATACTGGGATAGGGTCGTACTTATAACTTGAGCTACAAGTTACTACAAGTGGACTTATAACGTGGGACAAGTGGACTTATAAGTTTGCTAAGTCCGAGTCCTAGTTATAAGTTACTTGTCTAGGGTTAACTTAGATAGGCCCACTTATAAGTTCGAGCTAAGTTCCGTGTGCCGGGACTTAGAATGAACTTAGCTGGAACTTAGCTTTCTTGCACCATTTTAGGAAAAACAGCTTTTTGGCATCCAGCGTTTGCGGAACAATGCCCAAAACGAGTTTGCCTGGCTGAGTCTTGACGCGCGTCCTCATGCGAACAAAAAGCACGCGCGCTTTACTCCTGACGTGTCGCAGAGCACATCGCTGAACGCGAGTCCAAACCTTACACCGGGCGTTGCGTGCGTATATTTTTTCGAATACGACAGGTCGGCATATCGCAGCGGCTGGTCGGCTCAGACTGCACTCGCGGCTGGCCCGCGCAGATGCCCAGCGTTGGTCCGCTCAGACTGCACTCGCGGCTGGCCCGCGCAGACACCCAGCGGCTGGTCCGCTCAGACTGCACTCGCGGCTGGCCCGCGCAGACGCTCTGCACTCGCGGCTGGCCCGCGCAGACTCACATAGCAGCGGGCCCGCTCAGACTCATATAGCGGCGGGCCCGCTCAGATTGCACTCGCGGCTGGCCCGCGAAGATCCACAGCGGCGGGTCCGCTCGAACTGCAGTCAGACTCCAGATGCAGACTCCAGACTCCACACTCCAGACTGCAGACTCCAGACTGCAGACTCCAGACTCCAGACTGCAGACTCCCAGACTGCAGACTCCAGACTGCAGACTGCCAACTCCAGAATCCAGACTGCAGAGTCCAGACTGCAGACTCCAGACTGCAGACTCCAGACTGCAAGCTCCAGACTCCAGCTCCAGAATCCAGACTGCAGACTCCAGATTCCAGACTGCCAACTCCAGACTGCACACTGCAGACTGCAGACCCCACACCGCAGGCGCCAGACTGCAAACTCCAGACTCCAGACTGCAGACTCCAGACTGCAGACTGCCAACTCCAGAAAAAACTGCAGAGTCCAGACTGCAGACTCCAGACTGCAGACTCCGGACTGCGAACTCCAGACTCCAGACTGCAGACTCCAGACTGCAGACTTCAGACTGCAAACTCCAGACTCCAGACTGCAGACTCCAGACTGCAGATTCCAGGCTCCAGAATGCAAACTCCAGACTCCAAACTGCAGACTCCAGACTGCAGACTCCAGACTGCACACTCCAAACTGCAGACTCCAGACTGCAGACTCCAGACTGCAAACTCCAGACTCCAGACTCCAGACTGCCAACTCCAGAATCAAGACTGCAGACTCCAGACTCCAGACTGCAGACTCGAGATTCCAGATTCCAGACTCCAGACTCCACAATCCAGATTCCTGACTCCAGGATCCTGATCATTTTCTGGTGGAATTCGGCCACGGGGCCAAGTTAAGTTATGTTAAGTCGTGGGGACGCAACTGGGCCTCACGGGGAAAGTTTGGCGGTTAAGTTGGTTGAGCTACAATAGGGACTCCACGGCTCCACACGACCCGCCCAGGTTAAGTTACGTTAAGTTTTGTTAAGTTCGAAAAAACTGCACCGGCCTTTCCGGGCTTTGGGGCGGGGCTGTCTGGATGCTGGATTCTGGGGTCTGGACTGTGAATTCTGGAGTCAGGAGTCTGCAGTCTGGAGTCTGCAGTCTGGAATCTGCAGTCTGGAGTCTGGAGTTTGCAGTCTAGAGTCTGCAGTCTGGAGTCTGCAGTCTGGAGTGTGGAGTTTGCAGTCAGCAGTCTGGATTCTGGAGACTTGATTGAGTCTTGCAGCCTTTCATCCGCGCACTCACAATCCAAACATGCAAAAAATCGCAAAGTGCCATCAGACCACCGCTTCAAGTGCCATCTCGAAATAAAAATCAACGCTGAAAATTTCCTGGGCGGACCAGCCGCCAGCGGACAACCGCTTCAAGTGCCATCTCGAAATGAAAATGAACGTGGCAAAAAATAGCTGGGCGGACCGGCCGCCAGCGGAACCACCGCTACAATGATATATCATCAAACGAGAAGCAAAACGGGCGGACCGGCCGCCGGCGGAGATACCGCCCCATGCGACTATATTAAGGCGGACCGGCCGCCAGCGGAGACACCGCTATAGAAACGAATCGCACAACAAAATTCAACCGAGTCAATCAGTGCAAAAAATGCTCCGGCTCCATCGAGCCAAGCGTGCGAAGCAGCGCGAACTGTTTGGCGTAAACTGCATGCGCGCGCGCCTGCCCTGCTGCGTTGAGTCACACGAAAATGTGTGCTTTCCAGCGCGTAATGCTTCATCACTGCCATGCTTCAAAACGCATGTGTTTGCCAACTCAATGAACTTAGAATGAACTTAGCGGACTTAGAAAAACCTCTTTTCTAAGTTCAAGATAAGTTACTTATAAACCCAAGCTAAGTGCTAAGTCACTTGTAACTCCAGCGCAAGTACGACCCTATCCCAGTATACACACGTGTAATTACATACATTTTTTGCGCATGCATATTTTTTGAAGTATTGTTTACGGTCACTACCATTTGCGTGACTGTTCCAAACGCGTGCGTTGGAACCTGCGGAAAACCAATATGACAAGGGGGCAAAGCATGAAACCTTGCAACCCCGCACGTGCTCGCCTCCTTTTCCATGAACATCCATCCATGTTTGTATGTTCGTCTTTTCATCTGATTTGGCGTGATGCTTAAAACCATATCGCACTCTCTGCAGGTGCGACAAGTACAACGAGCTGGCGCCCACGCGAGCTTTCCCCGACTGCTTCCCAGTGTACACCTGCAACCCCCGAGTCTTGGAGACCTCTGTCAGTGTTTGACCGGCAATTGACTGGCGAATAGCTGTGAGTCGATGTGAGCCGGCGTAAGGCGCCACAAACTGTTTTGCATGTTGCTACCGCCACCAAATGGTGGACGGTAGGAGCCTGGCACATATCAAGCCAGACCGAGGTAACCCTCAAGCTATGTTGGGAAACCCGCACAACATGTTTCAACTTCAGCCAAGGGCCCGGTTCGCCCGTTGGTCGTCCTATTTCTCCCATGGCTTCCCTCGTTCACATGCTCTGCACTTCACCCGAAAAGGCCGGAGGATACTTGGGGGTCTGAGTTCGCTGCGCAGATTTTGCTCAGACCTTCAGTGCTGCACTTCGTCTTTTTTTGTGGAAGGTGTTCCCTTAAAACAAACTACCGAAACCAGGCTGCGGAATTTTCACTGGCCAGCGGAGGTTTGGTCTCTAGATGTCCCTTGCACTGACGAGGCAAAATGGCCTCGGTAAGACATGCTCGCGATTTCGCAGAAAGGGGCCCGACGGAATGTGCGGAATGGCGAGGGACTCCCCCCAAAACACAAACTTGGTGACTTCCAATTGGATATCCGTTTCAACCACGGAAGCCGAGTAATTACCCTTGACATTCCTCAACTATGTGCAGCAAAACGTGCTTTTCCAGAATTGTAATTATGGGCCATTGCTTAAAGGCCCTTGATCTTCCTTAGATACACATCCTATGAGCAGCTTGTAGCAGCACTACCCCCTTTGTCAAGGCTTCACTCCTTGGCTGCAAAGCCCAGCCATAGAGATATTTCACATCCTGCCAAAAAGCAGGGTGGCAGGTTCTCTGTGGCGACTCAGATGTATTCGGGCTCTGTATTTTTGTTTTTACCTTTTGAACGTCAGCCTTAGTGAGGTAGCCCTCAATTGGCATTTGGGATTGGTGATTTGAACCGCTGGTTCTGGCAGGGAGGTAAATGGGAAACCACCCGAACCTCTAAACCACCGGAATCTAAACCAACAATTAGAGGGAAGCTGGTTCAAGCGAGTTTCCTTGAAGTGGGGTGGTGTTCCTTTTTGTTCAACCCTGTTCTTAGGTTTCGCACTTACGACCAGGGAAGCGGGATATGGGGCCTGTGAATTTTTCGGGGATATGTGCTTGTCTCAACATCGGGAGCACACCAAACGCCTGTGGGAATCGGATTCCTGTCTTCCAGGCCGGGGCTGAAGTGGGTGTGTCAGTCAGCACGCAAAGCCGGCTTCCACCAAACAACCCCCAATAAAAAGCAAAGTATGGACTTGTTGATATAGTAGCGGCATGTGTGTGTTTAAAGCGAAACCAACGGAAAAAGCCAAAAGAAGGGAAGCCAAAAGAAACCCTCGTTTGCTTAAAGGGCAACTGAACACCCATGATTTTGTTGGGGCCCCCTTTGCCACACCTTTCAAGCGAATCCATCGGCTTATCGCCAGATGTCCAAATGCCTGGCCTTGGCTTTGGTGGCGATTGCCAGCGCGCAGGCGACCAGACGAAAAGCAGGGGTGTTGGGTGGGGCTTTGGGTGGGGCTTTGGTTTACTCAGTCGCCCAAAGCGAATCCACCTGTTACCCTCCCACCAGCCAACATGGAAGTGCACAGACCCCTGTAGAAAGACTACTTTCCTCTTGGAAAGGGCCTTTTTTGCACTTCGTGCTAGTTGGTGGGAGGGTAACCTTTTGGTTTTCCAATTTTGGTCTATTGTTCCACAAGGTTCCTTTGGGCAGCTGAGTTCACCCCGTTTACCCCCATTCAAACGGTTTGCTGGGGGTTTCGTCAGGAGTTCTAGTGCTGTTGGTGGACGGAATTATGATTCCCCAATGGTTTCCCATGGAGTCAAAGTGGTGCAAGATTTTGTCCAAAGTAGCTGGAACCAAATCAATGTTCAGACTTTAATCAAACACACCACCCGGGTCCCAACCCTTTGGTTCCAAAGGGGACTTGGGGGAAAGCTGCAAAGTTGGGGGGGTGCTGGTTATGTCTGCGTTTTTGTCTACAAAGAGGGACGCCCCAAGCCTTCAATAGTCCGCCCTTTTTAAATACCCCCCCTCCAACAATCATGGCAGCTGACGATCGGAGGGTACCCTCGTACCCTTTCAAGAATATGGCAAGCACAATGTGCCCAAGAAAGAACCAGGGCTTCTCAAATCCCCAAGCCAATCCGAACCAACACTCCTCTTAACAATCATGGAACCCCAAAACGTCCACTTCCGTGATTGTTGGAAAGAGGGTGTCTGAGAAACAAAGTTTCAGGACAATCTCCAGGAAGTAAGGCACACACTCACAGAAAGCAGGGGGACTTGGTTGATGATCTGGAGATTTTCGTGGAGTTGTTTTTAACGTGCTCCCCAACTACTGACTATCAAGGTTATTGCGTTGACTCTTTCTGCAGGTTGCCAAAGTCAGGAACCATGTCTGTTTCCCTTCCCTTGAACCTAGCACTTGGGGTTGACTTTACCACCAAGCAAAAAGAGGCCAATACTACCGCAAGGGAAAATTGAATACATGTAAGTATGCATCCTCTTCATATCATGTTTGTACTATTCCCTGGGGGTGGTTTGGTAGTGAAAGCACGTTTGGACCGGTTCCGCTGGCGCGTTTCTTGTTAAGCCCGTGCTTTTCTTTTGTTTTCTCTCTTTTTTTTCTTTCCTTTTTTCGGTTCCGCGGTATCCAACCCAGGGTGTGTTTCGCAACAAGTTGTCCAAAGCCAATCGGCCGGATCTGGCCTTTTGGTTTTCTTATTGTCGACGTCGAATAAAAATGCTTCGGTTTTCCAGTTGGTTTCCCTTTAGGCCAACTGTAACCAACCTCAAACCAGAGGTTCCTCAAACGCGTTTCGGAAGGCCCCCAGACCCATTCTTCGTCGACGCGGGTTCTTCAGATATGCCTGGAACTCACTGACCAAGCTGTTGCTTTCAACACATTGAATGCAAAGGATTGAGCAACGCCCGAACGGGAATCCCGGATTTCCCAGAATGCAGGGTGTGAAAAATATGCGGAATCCCTTTGTGCGGTTGGTTTCAAGGGCAAACAAAGGCAAACCGTAGCCAAAACGGGGGTCCACTAGAAAAGCCATATCAGGCGGTGCAAAGACCAAAACCTGCGTAATTTTCCCGAGCTCCTTAATTTTGAGCCACAGCCGTATCGACCCTTCACAGTATTCCTTGCCTGCCAGCTGGACGACGAGTGCGAGGGCGCAGGCGGCGCGGGCTGCGCGCTGCAAGCGATCCAGCTGCGCGCGCGGGCGACAGGCAAGCTTGGGATCTCCGATCTGGCCCGGAGTGATGTGAACGGATCGATCCGGCACTTGAAAAGCAAAGAAGAGACAACTTCGAGTGGTTTGACCAGCAACTTCTAGTTTCTGCCTTCGAGCTTCAGTGGTGTGACAAGTTGTCCGGGAGAGGAAGATGTGCATGTGCTTCTTCGGCTGACTCATTCAAATTTGGCCTCTGGAGTCGTTTGGGCTCTCCTTTGTTGCACCCTTTGTGCTTGCCGATTGCTAAAGCTGGCCCAAAACGGTTGATCTAACCAAAGGGCACCATTTTCTCTACTCCAACCCCCTTGAAGTGGGTGTCACTCGGAAACCCATTGACTTGCTGGAGCGATAGGGAATGATCAGTGGAATGACACCTATAATTCAACCATCCAATTGGTGGTTTCCTTTAAGGGAATCGCTGGGTTCATTCCATGTCTCACCCACCTATCGCTCCGGCACGAAGTTCGGGCGCTCAGATCTGCTCCCTAGCCCCGCCCCGCTCTTCGCGCCCCCCGCGCATCCCGGATGCGACGAGGCGGGGACGCGGAGTCCCTGCACCTCAGCAGCTTCGGCGAGGAGCCTTCGGATGAGCTGCGGCTCGGCTCGGTTTGGAGCGAGCGAGGATCGGCTCGGTGGGTGGTGCCACTGCGCAAGACCCAGCGACTCACCCATGTTGGGTTCACATATCTTGGTTGCTCAAGGCGATGGCCCTTTGACTTCCAGGGCCCTCGGGAAGGTGAGGGCTGTCCGAAGCGATGTTGTATTCGGAAAGACAAAATATATAATATTTTGTTGTTTTCCAAATGGGCCAAGTTGGGGGGAAGTACATGGCAGGCCTGACAGCCCCAACATCGCCCGCCTTCCATGAGGCTGTGGACAAAGTACCAGTTCTTCTTGAAGCAGTTCCGTGCCGAGCTGAGTGAGCCGGTTAGCACTTCTTCGGTTTTGTTTGGTGGGCGCTGCAAAAAATGCCAAGCAGCTAGCTTTGCCAGCATGCCAGGGTTACTTTTGGTTTGATGGGGAATGCGCCATTAGAGGTGTTGGTGTGCCAGTGGAATTGTTGGCCCCCGCGCTGAGGACGCCAATATGGCGTCCAGGAACAGGAGCGTAGATTTCTGAATTTCAAAGCCTCCTTCAGGCGCGGGCCCCCGTTCGGAGGGGGGCGGGTTCGCGGGAGCGTCGGTGGCAGAGGTGCTCCAACTTTTAGATTTCTCTTTAAGAAACGAGTAAGAGGCTCGGTTGCAGATGTGATCCAAGTAATCAATTGAGTTGAGTCCCTGAAATGACTTGGATTGCTGGCGTGGGGATTTGAGTTCTCAGCTCGTTTAGAACCACCAAGCCAATTACGGTTGTTCTGACTCTTTGCCAAGTCGCAAACTTGAAAGGATTCTACCTTGTTTCGTCAAAACAGTCCCAAGTGAACACTTGTTGAAGCAGTCAACTCAACCGGGGGCTTTACCCACTGGGTCCCAAGTGAAGGGTTCTCAAGATTAGTCTTGGGGGACTTCCCCTCAACCCGCCATCTAGCTGGGGTATTTTTGAGGATGTCACGTTTACAGACAGAAGTCGTCCCAAGTTGTTCAGTGCTTCCACTTCCAATAGGAGGTAGCCAGGGGGGAGCATGATGTAAACCCTAAGACTGAAGGGGGAGAACCCCAGTGGGAACTGAATCAATCAAATAGCCATGGATCAAAACCCCGTACCCCGAGTGCACATCCCAATCCCCACTAAAATAGACTAAAATGGTTGGTGCACCTATCCCAAAAAAATGGTACCATTGGTTTTGAACCATGGCCAAAAGGGTTTGACTTGGCAGGACAGCCAAAGAGCTTGCTGGAAAGGATGCTGATAGCGCCTTGGCGAAGCCAGCCTGAAAGGGGCTGGTGGTGCCTAACCCCAGCTGTGACTAGGGCAGCCCCAAAAGGGGTAGCGGTTTCTACCAAGGCCTCGTGGATTTTTGCAGCGTGAAGCGCCCACTTGGAAGGAACAGTGGAGCATCCGAGGTTCTTTTGGCATCAACGGCTGCTTGGCAGGATTTGCCATTCGGCCGTTCGTCTTCCTGTGTCCCTCTGGTGTGAACTAATTGCGGGGTTGTTTCCCTTCACACCATCATTCAGAGGGTAAATTTGAGGCAGTCACTGTTGTGCACCACTGTGGGCCAAATCAAGGACCGAACTTCAGATTGGTTGAACATCTGGGAACGGATTCCTTGGTTTGGAGACAGGGTTGCGATGTGCCCACCGTTGTGCAAGGTGTCTACGGAGCAAATCCTGTTTGGAAGTCGATGCCTCCTGCTCCAGGTCAGTTGATGTCAGTCCCTTGCATTGACCTCCATTTCAGGGGTAAACACTTGTCAAATCATCGTGCACAAGCGGCAGCAATACCGACTTGGCTTGCTTTCCACGCATTCTCATCTTTGGACTGACAAATAGATTTGGCGGTTGCTGCTTTTCAAAGGCTATTCCCCTCCCACCAAGATGGACGCCAAGACCCATCAAGACCCCCTCCTCCAACACAAAGCTGAGTATATAATCCACGCCCTGGATGAATCAACCCGTCCTAAAGAAATAGGGAGGGTGTTTTTTCCTCCAGACGTGATGAATCCCCACTAAACGTTGACCCGTTAACCAACCAGAGTTTACTCCGCGGTTTCCATACCCTGTGTGAGACCCTGTATGTAGCTTTATGGCTATTGGGTTGGATCTTTGGACTTTAACTTTGTGGGAAAATGTGGAATTTCCATTGGACCCACAAAAGTTAGCTTTTCGCAGAGCGGTCAACAGCAACCAAAATGGATGTGTCTTTCTTTTAGGGTAGCCCTAGAATGGCTGGTTTTCCTTTTGGTTTCCCTTTGACAAAACAAAGGTACTAACTCCAAAAAGCGACACGCCCAAGTGGCCAGTCGTCGCCTCGAAACCCGAAAGTCCCGGTTTGAGGGTGCGGATCAGGCATGGCCGACTTTGATGCAACGGAGAAGCCCACACGTGGCTTTCACGTGAAGCAGCTTTCGTGCCCTGGATGCCTCGTTTCTTCCCGAAGAAAGCCGACCAGGTACCATTTTTGGGTAGGTGCACCACCCATTTTAGTCTATTTTAGTGGGCATTGGGCACATGGGAGCAAGTCACTAGTTAATTAGTTTTGAGAAAACTAACTATTGGCTTGGCCCAACGATTGCTTCGCCAGGACAAACAAACTTATGGCCGTCTACGGAACCTTTGTTACTCTGGAGAACAAACGTTTCTTCCGAACTCACGCTTATATTCTTCTGTCGCATGTGCGGAAACGTTGATTTCCAATAGAGGAACAAACGTTTTGAATGGCTACTTTGGAAACTTGGAAAACAAACGTTTCATCGCAGAGCTTAGTTTGTTTGTTTTCTGGGAAACTCTGAAAGGAAACTCACGAATAAAAGGTTAGTTTCGCATACCAAACATACTTTCCGGACAAACTATTGTTTCAATCAATCCTTTCGTGAACTCGGGCTGTAAGTTTGTTTCATTACGCGCAGACTCAAGTTTCGGAGGTAGGTTTGTTGTGTCCGCCGAAACGTTTGTTTCTAAACCTGTGTTTTGGTCTAGGCAAACGCTTGTTTCGAAACATCTGTTTGTTTTATTCGGGACGGCGGCTTCGCTACCTTTGCGGCTCTTCTGCAGCCACGGCCACTGGCTCCGAATGTGACCGATATGCGGTGTTTGTGCGTGTTGTATGCATTGTCCACGCATGATTCCTAGGAAACTGTTAGCCTTTCTTCGTCTTGCTCTGCGTGTGGCATGCGTTTCTGTTTGCGCTTTAGATGCAGCCGGTATGCAGATGAGTGCCGGGGCTGAGTTGGAGCGGAGCTGAGCAGATGAGAACCGGATGGTCGCCGGGTCGGAGCCGGAGCTGAGCCGAAGGCGGAGCCGAGGCGGAGCGGAGGTGGATCAACACGAGAGCTGGCTGGACGGGTGCTGGAGAAAGTGCGCGATTACAGGCAACGGTCACAAAGCCGAACAACAGCGTGATAAAGAAGCGGGGGGTTTGGGGGGGGGGCGCAGCCCAGTAAGAAAAGCCCCTAAACCCACCTGAGGCCCCTAAAATCTTCTTTTTTCAGCACCACTTGGAGAAATGATGTTTTTTGTTTGAAAATCTGTGCACCAGATCGGTTTTTCAGCACCAGAGAGGCTTTCAGAGCAACAATTTTGCAACGCACATGCTTAGTTTGACGTAAATTGTACGACATGTGAACAGTTTGCGAACGGGCTTATTTAAACGGGCTTTGAACGCTTTACGAGTGGTATTTCCAACACCGAAGCCTAAGCACGGCCCATGACATGACGCAAGAAGAACGTAAACATGCACTGGACTACGCGAGAGTCACGCAATTGATGGTGTTCCAACAAGCGACGTCAGCAAGACCTCGGGCAAACCCGAACGGTTTTTGTAGCACCAGTGTTGATATTTCCACATGAGGAAGGCAAAACGATATTGTCCTGAAAAACGATCAAATTCAACATTTTTGGGGCAGCGGGTAGAAGAGAAAGCACGTGTTACTAACAAGGAAACAGCACCCCCCCCCTTCCAAACAACAATCCGCACCCCCCAGCCGCCAACAGCAACCCCCCGTTGTTGTTCGAGCATCCCCCCAACCACAATCCTGAATAAGTAATTACTCTCCCCCCCCCCCGCATTGTTCGAAAAATCAGAACCCCCTGCCCCTCAATAACAAATCCACCCTCCGCTGGTATTGTTGCAACAGTTACTCCCCCTCCCCACACAAACAATTCCCGCCGCCCAATGGTTCTTCTCAACCATGACCCACCCCGCTTGTTCAGATGGTCTCTGGTTGGGGGGGCGCAGTCTCCGTCGCAAAAAGGGTCCAATGGAATAAGAACGCGGCGCATTACACGCAACTTTGCGCAGATGAACTTAACAACTGCCAAGCCACTTGGTGGTGTTGCTGGTGATGCTAGGGGTATCATTTGTGATGCTGGAGATGTTTGGCTGCACGTGCTTTCCGACCCTGGAAACATTAGTTTACCATCGCTGAAACTAACCTTTCAAACGGTTTGTTTCTGGGCGCCCCCTTCCCCCGAGGCCAGAAAGATTAGTTTCCAACTGAAAAAACTAACTTTTCCGGCTCCAAAACCTTTGTTTTCGAGCCCCTGAACTAACTTTTTCTCGGCCAGGTGAACCTTAGTAATTCCTTGAGAAAACAAACTTTCTTTGTCTGAGTTAGTTTGTTTCCCAGCCCTGGGGCGGCCGGCGCCCTGTCACTGAGTTTCACACAAAGGGTTTCCATTTGGGTTAAGTAACTTCTCTCTTGCTCCATACTCGGATTGGGATGTTCACGGGATTTTGGCACATGGCCGTTTGAGAAGGGGTCATCGCAGTTTCCCTTAAAAGAACCCCCTGTCATTTGCAACTTGCTGGTTTCCAGTTTCCACAACGAGCCACTCGTCTCTGGATCAACTTGGGAAAACGAGTGACCCCGTGTTGTTTGCTTCGTGTCCCTTGGCCCAAGCTTGCATCCGGCCATGTGACTGTGTGAGCAGGGGGAAACCCCGAAACAATATTACCAGACTTCTGGTTTGGGTCTCCGTCATGTTCCATGTCCAGAATTTTGTTTCATGTTTAGAGCCGGAAGTCCGGCCAAGCGAAGAGAACGCCAACCATGTTTCAGAGGGTGTTTTGGAAGACTAGAATCATCTTGACATGCCTTTCGTCCATGGAAAACAGGTCGCACGGGTGATTCTCCAACGTCGTAGTTGCTTAGCAGATTCCAAAAGGGTGGCAACCGTCCCACCAAATCCCGTTTCCACCGTTCGAGTCACTGGGCAGACAAGGGTGTCCCTTCGGAGTTGCCCGCGGCCAGTTTTTCCTTTTCTGAAGCCTTAAACCTCGCACTGCCCTCAAAACCCCCCCCGTCCCCTTCCAAAAGGCTAAATTATGTTTTGTGGAGTGGGGGAACTACAGGGATAGCTAATCACCAATATTTTCCTTCCACAACCATGACTAAACTTGGTTGTAAAGTACCCCACTCAGCCTTACCTTGGACCCAGTTGCGCAGTCGTGCCCTTTTTTTCCCGTTTTTTTTTTGGAAGGGAAACCCGTTAAAGTCAACCAACCAAAAAACCATCGGATGCCGGTTCTTTTCTTTTCCCATGGACATCCACTGGGCATCGCATCTAGCCAAGGGAGCAGCTGGCGACACTGGGCTCGGCCATGAAGGCGGGGGCGGGGGCAGGGGGAGAGGGGGGTTTGAGGGGGGTTTGAGGGGGGGGGGAATGGCTCGGTGCCTTGAGAAGCGGCGCATTCCTTATTTTGCGGTTTTATTTTTATGCATGAATTGATATGTGTATATATAGATATGTATGCATACATCTATAATGCACCTATAATTGAGGGTAGTGAAAGAAATGGAATCCTTCAGTGAAGTTAGGGATTTGCTGGAGAGTTTTCTAAAGCATCAGTCGCAAAGACAAGGGCATCCCTGAAAAGGCTGCCCTTTGAGGCGAGGGGCTGACAATCTGAAATGAATACATGCATTCGCCTTGGATGGCTTAGCCTGGTCGTAAAGTTCCCCACAAACCTTTTGGATGCTTCTTTTTTGAAGTGTTACCCTTTGTGAGGTTTGTTTAAAGAAAACCAACAACTACTACACGAGCAAGATATGGCCCCAAGATATGGTTGTTGTGGCAAAAAGCGGATTTCCGAAGCCATTGAATGGGAAGCATCAAGTGTTGTGGGTCAAGGGGCATCCATGAGGCATAAGAATGAATAAGCAGTGCAAAAGTTGTATGATAGAAGCGTGCATGCGAGGTAGTATGTGATGTGGACATTGCACCGCAAACATATTCCCCATCACGCAGTCTCCGACCCGGCCATGAGGCTTTCAAGGCACCCAAGGAGAACCTCACGGACGTGACGGCCATCAACTGGCGCTTGACACGGGCGGGGCACCCGACTGAAACGCTCTTGAGCAATGTATGGCACGCCGAAGAAAGGACCAGTCGTTTGCAGTTTGCACCCGTGGGCACAAGAAACATGTGATTGGGTGAGGTGTCATTTCATGCAGACATACAGTCAGAATAGTGGCCAACTCCTTGCACCCCGGCGTGCAATTCACGATGCCATGGAGAGAGCGACGCTTCAGCTTTGGGGAAGCCAGCCACTCGCTTGTGGCTTAATTGTCTTGGGCTCAAATCTCAGCAATCGGGGCTTTGCTAGGCATGTCTCGGACTTGAAATGAAACACCAGGAGGGTTCAACATTCTGAAAGGGGGCGTTGCCAACCGTTGCTCGAAGGTTGCAGCAGCTTTTAGCCCTAACATATGTCTAACACGATGCCAGCAAATGGCTGAGATGTATAAGGTTCTCTGTGAAAGTCCAACATACTTGCCCGCTTATCGCATGTATGCAGCTGTATTGCAAATGTGTTGCTTTGCATATGTCTAACGCATAGTGTCCGTTTGTAGGGACTCGAACAGGGGCGAAAATCAATTGAGCAGCGCCCCAACCCAAAGGGGCTGGTTTAGCGGGTGGTTGCCTGGTTTAGTTCGGATACCGCTTAAACCTTCATACCCACGTTGGTAGAATCAGCAGGATGGGTTTTGGGCGCTTCTCAAATGGAAGCTCCGGCTTTCGCGGATAGTTTGGGCCGTCTCTTCCAGATTCCCTGAAGCACGCTTCTTTGTTTCTCACACGTGGACCCCGGCATTCAGAGCGCAGCTTTCACACACCTAAGGCTTGCGACAGAGACTGTGTCATATTGGAATATTGTTTGAACCGAATCTGAAGACAAACAGGCAGGGTTTGGCAGAGGTCCTAAAATATTTTGTTGTTCTTTCCCTTGTGATTGGGGTAATTCATGTTTTTTGTAATGGTGGAAATTTCGGGAGCCCTTTTTTGTGCGGCCCAAATTTGTGCCTTTTTCCCATTGGGATTGATCCTTGGCGAGGCCCTCAGGCTCGCGACTCGCGACTCGGGAGGCGATCAGCCCGGTGAAGAACCAGGGCGCCTGTGGAGCGTGCTGGGCCTTCGTGACGGCGGAGGAGGTGGAGTCCTTGTCCGGGGCCCTGGATGTGTCGGCTGAGAAGGAGGCGCCAAGGTCGACCCTGAGTCACGGTTTCAGGGGGGATCCCCGGATCCCCAAAAGAAAAACTGGTGAATAAACCCCCCCACACTTGGGGGATCCCTGTTGAATGGCGATTCCTTCTTGCAGGGAACCCTACTGATTAATAACTTGGGTGGGAGGGGGTGTGGGTCATTAATCAGGCAAATATGATTTGCTCCGCTTCCTGAAGTCAAAAAGGGGTGGACAAAATTGATTTAGGTTGTACACGACTTTTTTCTCAAGATGGACTTCGGAGCCCTTTTTGGTGTTTGAAGGGAAACGCAAAGGACACCTTTGCCATTGGGGCCGCTGTTGTGAGAAGCCCCCCCATATTTTTTGCTCAACTTCTGAAACTCAACATTTCGTTGTGTTTCATCCGCCCGCTGTATCAATCAACTGCCTCCCCCCCCCAAAAAAGAAGAAGAAACAAAACGCTCGCCGCTCCCCATTTTCGTCGGTGGCATGTTTTGGGGCCTCCCTCAAAGGCGGGTGCACTGCGATCCAAAGCTAAGCCGCAAACCATCTTTAGTTTTGGAGATGCGGACCTATTGGTGTAGGCCCTTGCCAAGTTTCCAAGGGAACGACTGGTTCGACATATAGTTGCCTTGCTGAACGGAAGTGTTGTGTATGACTGAGCAATTTTCTCTAGATGTGGCTTGTAGGATTTGCCCTGAAATGCCCTGCAAGGGTCTTTGGTTTTAAATCTTGTCTTCGGGTCGATTGAATTGACCCTTGTAGCCGAAGCAGGTCATAGTTCCTAATAGTTTACTCCTGTGATCATGGCTAATTTTGGTTTGACGCACCCCGAACTCCCAACCCTCTTATTTTGGTTCAAACCACCCTTTCTTCAACACCTTCATGATATAGCCTCTATTAGGCGGAATTCGCACCAGGTACACTCTGTGGCAAGGCGGCGGTGGCCCAGGCTACTCAGAGATCTTCTCCGCCCCTCGGAGAGAACTCGACGCCGCACTTCCGGGGGTTCTTGGATGTGAGGTGCCAGCTCGGGGCGGGGTTACCATAGACATTTGGGTATGGGTCAAAATTCAACCACCGGGGGACCGCAGGCTTTAGTCTTTGGTTCCATTTACCGGTTCTATTTTGGGCACCTATTTTTGACCCACAGCCATTTTTGCCCTTGACACCTTTTTTGCCCTAGGAGATCCTAGGAGCAAAGATGAGAACTAAACGGCCTATAAATTGGTTTCAAAACATAGCTGTTGGGCGTTGGTGAGCTGTTCCTGATGATTTCAGGCCTGATTTGGTGTTGGCTGCAAATTGGCAACTGTGGGTTGACATTGGATTTGATTGGCGGATTGGTGCAAGGTGCCCGGACATTACATCCTGTTTCCATATCCCCAGCTAGTTGAAAGAAAGGATGAGTCTGAAGCGTTGCACATGAGCCCTATGCAAGTGAATGGTTGACGTCATCGGTCCCTGATCCGGCAATGTCGGATTGCAGATTAGGATTCACGATTCCCAGATTTAACTCTGAGCCCCTGTGCTCACAATTGCTTTCGGGTGCGGTTGCGTGTTCAACCACAACTTACAGACTTAGAGGAACTTATGTGCGTCATTGACCCATTGTGCAGGTGGAATCGTGTCGTTGACCTATTGTGCAGGTGGAATCACTGGGATACCCAAGAGTCCCTGATAAATTAGGCAATTCTTAGATGGTTTTTGCTACCCTCAGCCCACTTCCCTCAAGCGCAAACTGAACTAGTATAAATTTTACATTATATTATATTTTACCACATTCCATATGATTTTGGATTTATACAGTGGCTCTACACCAGGTTGTATACCCCATCTTTCCCTTGGAGTTACCCCGCGCACAAACATGCAACCCCCCCTTTAGTCAGGCTCCCTTACACCGTGGATGGGCGCACTTGTCCTTGGGAAACATGGGGTGTACAACCCGCGAGATTGCATAGAACTTTAGAAAGGATGTGTATACTTACTTGATTGTTTGATCTAGAATGTCACTAGTATTTATATATCGATATGTATATATATATATGTATGCATACTGATTTGTATAGATACATACATATCGATATATATATATATATACATATTGATATATATATATATATATATATATATGTATGTATGTATGTGTCTAAGTTCAACTATGTTTGGGAGGGGAGTAGCGAACACCATCTTAGAGCCATGCGTTCAAGGCACAGCAGCTGATCAGTTGTGACGAAGTGGCGGACGGATGTGGGGGTGGCAACCCAGTGGACGGATATGGCGACTTGGTGAGGAGAGAGAGCAAGAGAGGGAGAGAGGGAGAGAGGGAGAGAGGGAGAGAGGGAGAGAGGGAGAGAGGGAGAGAGGGAGAGAGGGAGAGAGGGAGAGAGGGAGAGAGGGAGAGAGAGAGAGAGGGAAGAGGCAGAGGGAGGGAGAGAGAGAGAGAGAGAGAGAGAGAGAGAGAGGGAGAGAGAGGGAGAGATAAGGAAAGGAACCACATTGGGGGAGAGAGAGAGAGAGATTGATTGATTGATTTGAGCTTGGCTGGCGTCCAGTGGTCACCTTCTCGCTTGCCCGCTTGTTGGTCAATCTTTCGTCACGGACCCAAGAGGTTAGGCATTTATTTTTGGGTCCCTTTCTGGGGCGAGCCTTTCTTCCCTTCTTCTTGAGGTTTCCCTAAAAATCAGGGGAAGCGTTGTCCAAGTCAGAAACTGGGCTCTTTAGCTTACTGCCGAACGGAGGTGACTTTGATAGTAAAACCATGTGGCTATTTTTGGAGGAGTGAGCCCCTTCAACGAATGGAGCACCATTTCAAACAACTCGACGTTTTGGGGCCAATTTATCGAGAAAGTGAGCTGGCAACATCTGACATGCAAGGAGGTCCGCGATGTCCGCGCGAGACGAACCAGGAAAGTCCAGATAAGGCCTACATAATTGGAACCTGGTTGTGACCTGCTTCAAAACCAGCTTCAGTCCTGGTTCCGGGGGGAATGTGTGCATTTGTCCCGGCATTTGCTCACACCTGGCTGCTCGGCACGCAGTTTTTTTTTCCCCGAAGCCGTCTCAGAGTGGCCAAAAACCTGAAGGACTTTTTAGGATTTAGGGTTTTGCCAGCCATTCGAATTTCACGCCCAGCGTCTAAAGGTTTACTGACTTCAGCACAAATGTTGGTTTCCACTTCGAGAGGTTCACTCAGCCTTGTATTTTTCGGGCCGTCTCCCGTTTTCGGACTTGCGCCGGATTGCCTTTGAGCGACACGCTAAGCTTACATCGTCAAGAGCAAGGTCGGCCTGGTGCAGGAGGCTTACTGGCCCTACGAAGGAGCGGATCGTCAGGGAAAATTAGGGGCTCGGAGAAACCCCCAAAGCACTTAGAAGTTCGCCCAGCCATCACTTGGCCTTCACCGGGCGGGGGTCATGCCCAGGCTCATCACAACGGTCAATCTTGAAACTTTTGGATTATTTTGGCTTTTAACCCTTTCTGGGCCCTGGGCTTTTGAACAAAAAACACACTGGGAATCGTCCCCTCCTTCCTGGTTTTGGTTCAGAGGCTTCAGGGTACACCCTCAAAATGACTGCGCTTGACGAAGCTTCTAGTCGCCGTAGGCGGATTTCTGCCCATGGAGAAGTGCGACTACAAGTCCTGCACGAAGCCATGCAACAAGGACCTGCCGCTCGACTGCAAGTCGTTGAGCACAAAAGAACCCCACAAACTTTGGAATGGGGGATGGGGGGGAGGACAATTTGGAATTTCATGTATTCCATTGTCTTTTTTGTATTACTGGAGCGCAGTACCATTAGTCGGGGAGAAATGCAGCGACTTTCACGTACGTGAACCCGAATCAAAATGGTGGACCCCGGGTTGGGTATTTTTTGAAGCGAAAGCCAGAAGAAAACATCACGTGAATCCATGTTTTTGCCATAGACGCCCAGGTCTTTGGCATGTGTCACATGTTTTGCTCCGGTGCCCCTGAAACGGGGTATTGTTTGCTGGTTGCATGTCTAATTCTGCTGTTGCATTGCTGCTTGCCGAAACATGCACTGAATTCTTACTGGCCAACTTTGCAGGACAGATTGTCTCTGATCTTCTGCAGATTTGTGTCTGCTGACGAAGTGTTTTATCCGCAGGTGTCCCTTGGGTCACTTTGGTTCCCATTTTTCACTGCCAAAGATAGACCTTTGGCACCTGGCTAATGAGATCTTGTAGGTCATGTTTCGGAAAATGGTTTGCGAGAAAAAAACACATTTTCCCGGCACATGGTGTCCATTTTACCTTTTGGCCGGTTTCTTTTCTGCAATTTCCGCGACCAAAGGACACCTAAGCCCTTTCGCTCCAGCTCCCTGACCGGATCTTGGCTAAGGAGCGACGCAGCGCGATTTGAGCTGCCTGGCTCCATGAGTGCGCGAGAAACTTCGAAAATAGCTGGGTGCTACATAGCCCCTATTTGGCCCAGAAGGTCCTAAGTATCCCATTGGGTTTGGTTCGAGGGGATTTGTCAATTACATATTTTTCAAATCCTCAAATATGAAGTACTTGGACCCTCTGGGTGATTAGCTTCTCCAAAAGCAAGCCAGGGAGCTTGTTCTCCCCCACTTGCCACTCAAAAAAACGCCTTTTTCTCCTGAGCTCAGCTCAGGCACGTCATCGGACCGCCCCTGGGCATTTATATGTCCGGGTTCGGCTGAGCGTGCCTCCAGGGCTGGACGAGGGGCTTTTTTCACCGGTTTTCAACCAGAGCGCATCATGGTGTGCGTGTTGTTTCATGTGTTCTTTGAAGGGCTTTGTATGTTTGTTTTGTTTCTTTGCTTGGAGGACATGTTCTGCGTGTTGTTCGCAATTTCTAAAAGTGGAGCGACCTAACATGTTGTGAATGATGGATTGGTCTGAGGGTTGAAACCTCGGGCCGAAATAGAGCAACCCCATTGACGCCTTCGGGTGTTAAACAAGCGCTGCGGCGCAGACGGGCAATGAATTGTTCCGGTCCAATGTCCAACACAAGTTGTCGTCGCCCTCCAAAGGACTCCTTTGCAGTTGAGCCTGTTTCATTATCTCTTGACCCTTTACCAGGCCATGTGCGGGCGGGTGATGTGCGCAAGGCGTTTGTTCGGCTGGAGCTGTTTTACGCTCAGCATACGGTTGAATTTACTTTTGATTGCGCGCACATACCGACGCGAACCTGCGTAGCAAAGATACCCACCACATCCGGATCAATGACTACAAGCATTTGGCTTCTCAGGACTTTTTTGGGGACCCGATGATCGCAACCATCAAGAGGACCCCATTCTTGAGGCTTCATGTTGTGAGGCTTTCCTCATGCTTTTTACCCATTTTTCCCAAGTGGTTTCTGGGAAGATTTGGATTCCTGGAAAGAATGGGGAAATTACCACCTAGTCCAAACACTGCACTCCCTAAACACAACGGGAAGACAGCTAGAGCCAAGCTGGAGCTGTTGAGGGGGGTGGTGCGCTTGGGGGGGTATGAGTATATGCACAATCACAAAAAGGACGGACCCCAATAGGAGTTTCATGATTTTGAGTGGAATGACCTGGCCTGCCTGTCACCTTCATTTTTGGGCAAACATCCTTCACCCCAGACACTCCAAACAAAATGGCCCCAGACCCTTCTGATCCATTTTCCTGAGAAATCCGTAATGTTGACCCCAGATGAATTAACCCCTGCCTGTAAAGAAACAAGGGGTTGTCCCTGGTTTTAGTGGGGATTTAGCACTTAAGGGGAACACCCCCATAAAAGAAAAATGAACATTTGGTTGATGAATGAGGGGTCAACATTACAAAAAATCCATGGATTTGTTGGTCGTTTTTGTTTGTTTTGTTTTTTCTCCTGTGCCAACGCCTTTACGAGGATCGCCCGGGTGCACGGGGCCATGTGGGCCACCCCGCTCTGTGAGCCCGGGTCCAGCTGCGGAAGCCAAGACTTGGAGCGGCTCCGCCAG